GACGATAAGAACATGACTCTCATCCTAGCTCTCGGCGGCGAATGGTCCATGCCGCATGACTCTCTTAGATTTTGCCCTCAAACCATGACACTGCTAGCGGCGAATTCGGTCATGCCGCAACAACATGACACTACACCCTGGATGCCTCTGTGCTCTCAGGCGCTGACCCTGACTGCAATCGCTCGGTGTCCTGCCATCGCTTGACACTGGAAGGTCTGGCCTCAGTGATGCAATGTGATACATGTGACACTCACAAAACTGCTCTTGCAAGTCACTGCTATGACACTCTGCCGGCCTACCTATGGCACGTGACTCTAGCAGATTAATAGACGATAATTGAACAATATGACTCTCATCCTAGCTCTCGGCAGCGAATGGTCCATGCCGCATGACTCTCTCTTAGGTGCTACACTCAAACCCTGACACTGCTAGCGGCGAATGGGTCATGCCGCAACCAAATGACACTACACTCTGAAGCGATGACCCTGACTGCAATCGCCCAATGTCCTGCCATCGCTTGACACTGGAAGGTCGGGCCTCGGTGATGCAATGTGATATATTATGTGACACTGACAAAAACTGCTCTTGCAAGTCACTGCCATGACACTCTGCCGACCTACCTATGGCATCTGACTCTAGCAGATAGATGATAAGAACATGACTCTCATCCTAGCTCTCGGCGGCGAATGGTCCATGCCGCATGACTCTTTTAGATGCTACCCTCAGACCATGACACTGCTAGCGGCGAATGGGTCATGCCGCAACAACATGACACTACACCCTGGATGCCTCTGTGCTCTCAGGCGCTGACCCTGACTGCAATCGCTCGGTGTCCTGCCATCGCTTGACACTGGAAGGTCTGGCCTCAGTGATGCAATGTGATACATGTGACACTCACAAAACTGCTCTTGCAAGGCACTGCTATGACACTCTGCCGGCCTACCTATGGCATGTGACTCTAGCAGATTAATAGACGATAATTTAATTGAACAATATGACTCTCATCCTAGCTCTCGGCAGCGAATGGTCCATGCCGCATGACTCTCTCTTAGATGCTACACTCAAACCCTGACACTGCTAGCGGCGAATGGGTCATGCCGCAACAAAATGACACTGCACTCTGAAGCGATGATGACCCTGACTGCAATCGCCCAGTGCCCTGCCATCGCTTGACACTGGAAGGTCGGGCCTCGGTGATGCAATGTGATACATGTGACACTGATAATACAACTCTTGCAAGTCAGTGCTATGACACTCAGCCGACCTACCTATGGCATCTGACTCTAGCAGATAATAATAGACGATAAGAACATGACTCTCATCCTAGCTCTCGGCGGCGAATGGTCCATGCCGCATGACTCTCTTAGATTTTGCCCTCAAACCATGACACTGCTAGCGGCGAATTCGGTCATGCCGCAACAACATGACACTACACCCTGGATGCCTCTGTGCTCTCAGGCGCTGACCCTGACTGCAATCGCTCGGTGTCCTGCCATCGCTTGACACTGGAAGGTCTGGCCTCAGTGATGCAATGTGATACATGTGACACTCACAAAACTGCTCTTGCAAGTCACTGCTATGACACTCTGCCGGCCTACCTATGGCACGTGACTCTAGCAGATTAATAGACGATAATTGAACAATATGACTCTCATCCTAGCTCTCGGCAGCGAATGGTCCATGCCGCATGACTCTCTCTTAGGTGCTACACTCAAACCCTGACACTGCTAGCGGCGAATGGGTCATGCCGCAACCAAATGACACTACACTCTGAAGCGATGACCCTGACTGCAATCGCCCAATGTCCTGCCATCGCTTGACACTGGAAGGTCGGGCCTCGGTGATGCAATGTGATATATTATGTGACACTGACAAAAACTGCTCTTGCAAGTCACTGCCATGACACTCTGCCGACCTACCTATGGCATCTGACTCTAGCAGATAGATGATAAGAACATGACTCTCATCCTAGCTCTCGGCGGCGAATGGTCCATGCCGCATGACTCTTTTAGATGCTACCCTCAGACCATGACACTGCTAGCGGCGAATGGGTCATGCCGCAACAACATGGACACTACACCCTGGATGCCTCTGTGCTCTCAGGCGCTGACCCTGACTGCAATCGCTCGGTGTCCTGCCATCGCTTGACACTGGAATGTCTGGCCTCAGTGATGCAATGTGATGCATGTGACACTCACAAACTGCTCTTGCAAGTCACTGCTGTGACACTCTTGGCATGTGACTCTAGCAGCTTAGATGATGATTGAACATGACTCTCATCCTAGCTCTCGGCGGCGAATGGTCCATGCCGCATGACTCTCTCTTAGATGCTACACTCAAACCCTGACACTGCTAGTGGCGAATGGGTCATGCCGCAACAAAATGACACTGCACTCTGAAGCGATGACCCCGACTGCTATCGCCCAGTGTCCTGCCATCGCTTGACACTGGAAGGTCGGGCCTCGGTGATGCAATGTGTTTAATTATTATATTAAATTGAAATTATTATTGTTATATGTGACACTGACAAAAACTGCTCTTGCAAGTCACTGCTATGACACTCTGCCGACCTACCTATGGCATCATTTATTGAATAATATTTATTTATTATAATTAAATTTAAATATTAAACTAAATATGTCATTTAATTATTAAAATAGACGACGACGAAAATAATCATTGAACAACATGACTCTCATCCTAGCTCTCGGCGGCGAATGGTCCATGCCGCATGACTCTTTCTTAGATTAGATGCTACACTCAAACCCTGACACTGCTAGCGGCGAATGGGTCATGCCGCACAAAATGACACTGCACTCCGGATGCATCTGCGCTCTCAGGCGATGACCCTGACTGCAATCGCTCAGTGTCCTGCCATCGCTTGACACTGGAAGGTCTGGCCTCGGTGATGCAATGTGGTACCTGACACTGACAAACTGCTCTTGCAAGTCACTGCTATGACACTCTGCCGACCTACCTATGGCATCTGACTCTAGCAGACGATAAGAACATGACTCTCATCCTAGCTCTCGGCGGCGAATGGTCCATGCCGCATGACTCTCTCTTAGATGCTACCCTCAGACCCTGACCCTGCTAGCGGCGAATGGGTCTTGCCGCAGCGGCGAATGGGTTTGCCGCAAACACCAGCATGACTCTGCACTCTAGGGCTCCACGCTGACACTCGAGGTGATCCACGGTGAGGGCGATGTTCACATGAGAAGCTTGCTGACACTCGAAGCGAATTGTCAGTGGTAAATTACCACTGACAATTCGTTTCGAGTGGCAGCTTGAGCTAACGTGGCTTATGGTTGTTTGACACTACAAACTTATGGTTGTTTGACACTACAAACCATACAATCAATCGTTGTATACCAAGACCCAGCAAAACCACAGAAATTAAAAACACTCCGAAAGCACAGCCCAGTAATCTTACCTTTGGTTAGTAGGGAATGCAAAAATGGTAGTAATAGTAGTTATAATTGTACCCCATTCCTCCATTCCCTACTAACCAAAGCTAAGTAAGAAGAACCCATAAGAGCCTTACCTGCTTACTAACTCCCCTGCTTCTCCAAGTAGTGATGGCAGGCTCGGAGGTGCTCCAGTAGCATCCGGCTTACAACGACAGAAGTACCTAGGGTTTGGGAGCTTATATTTTAGAATTTAGGGACACTCAACCATGAGCCGAAAACCTGAAAATCCTAAAGCTAACGCGAAGTCCCATGCACTAAGAGCGCCCTAGCCTAGAGCTCAACCCGTCAAAGCCCCGAGGCTGTAAAACTCGGGATATCGAAAAAAATACATGAACCGGGCTACCCTAAACCCTAAACCCTAAAGCCTAAACCCTAAACCCCGCTATCGGGCCTGAGCCCCAGTCCACGGTGCAAAGTCTCGCGTGCTCAAAATGTGTCGGGTTTTAGGGCTCAGGGTGTTTGGATTAGGGGGGCGTTTCCTTAAGCTTGTTTGGGGTTATGCAAGGGAAGACTCACATCCCGCCAGCAGCACCTGAGGGAAGCTAAGTGCTTGTGAAACCCTCAAAAGAAGCTTGGGGAGGGTGCAGGGCTGTAGTGGGGTCGAGGGTTCAGGGAAAATTAAGGGAGAGATGGGGGTGCAGGGATGAATGGCTTCCACAACACCCCATAAAGACATACTATTTGGGCACATGGACCCTTAAACCCTTAACAGAACCCCTTGGTAACCCAGGCCTCAAAGGAGCCGGCCCTAAACTCTGAACCCCTATAATTATAAGCCATCCTAGACCCTAAACCTCAAACCATAGACGCTGTAAACCCCTAAAACCTAAACACACAGGGAGCCGAGATGCCGATCATCACCAGGTTGCCAACCTCGAACTTCACGTGGTCCATGATCTTCCTAAGAGATTAAGGGCTTTGAGGGCCCTTAGGATGGTAATCTAGGGTTTAGCTTTTTAAGGGGGATTCAAGGTTTAGGGCCAGGATGTGATATAAGGGCCTACGAACATCGGTTTGGAGGCATATGGGGGTGATTCTACAAGGTCTGCGTGCTGCGGTAGAACTACAAGATCCCGTTATTCCGATCCCAAAGGGTCCAAGTATCATTATGGTATATACTTATAGAGTAGTTTGGGGGTCTAAGTATATACCATAATGATACTTGGACCCTTTGGGGATGTAGGCTTCAAGGCAAAAGAAGAATCGTGTAAAAGGAGGAGCAATTCTTGGGAATAAGCGGTGCAAAAAAAAACAACAAAACAACGACAAGCGTGTACAAAGTGAAAAACGACAGCGGTGTACAAAGTGAAAGGCGCTATGCCGAACAAATGGCGAAACTATGTCATGTGCTCCCTACCAACCATACCTTACGATACGTAATTCATTGCCGTACGTCGCAGTCGCCACCAGCGAATGGCAAACGTATCCTCGGGCTGAGTATTCCCTCATAAGATAAGGACTGCTTCTTCAAGGCCGATTTGCCCAACCGATACCCGAGACCCTCAACCCCATGAAACACTTGCCTTTGCGTCACGTGCATGCGAGCAGCCCTGTCTCCAACTCGAGACGGATGGTGTCGTTGGACTCACAAGGCTGATTGGATCATTCAGAATAGCTGAGGGCTTTGGGGCTTCCGGCGCTTTTGGAGCTAATGGCTCCCTAAACCCTAAACCCTAAACCCTAAACGCTTCCCAAGGTGTAGAAACCCCTCAATCCCAGGACTCTGAAGGCCCCCCGGGGCGCTTGAAGTGATTTTCTAGAAGCGCTTCCGGAGTCTCTTGAAAAGCTTCCTACAGGATCCTTAGTCAGCCCAGGGCCTCAGGTGTTTTGCACATGAACCCAAAGGTTTGGAACCCGAAGGCACCGAAGCCTAAACCCCCATGCCTGCAGCTCCAGATGCCTTAATAGAAGCGTTTTAGCTCCCATAGATAATCAAACCAATCTTCATGGTAAAAATCTACGTCCTATCGTCTTGAGTGATCCCGCGAAGGAGACTGCATGTCGCCGCCGCCTTGATGTCAGGATCCGGGTAGCGGATGGTGCGACCATCGTGAGTCCTCCGACAGCGCTCATGACTTTGGGGAGTCGTACAAGGTAAGGTACTTAAGGGCTCCTGTGAGGGAGCCTACAAGCGTTTAGGACTTAGGGTGGGCTTGAGGGATCAGAGGACTTGGTAAGAATTGCTATAAGTTGTCTGTAGGTAGGATTCTATATATTGCCAGGGAAGCTACAGTACCTGGAAACCTGCTGACTTATCCCCCTGGTCTTGCAGATAGGTCGAGGACCAGGCAGGAGAAAACACAGCTACAGCGTAAAGTCAGAATCAAGGGCACCAATCGTTGTTTCCGTCGTCATCACGAAAAACCGCATGTGAATGACTACCATTGCTGCACCGGCAGTATCCTGGTCTACCCTCCTCGTGGGCTACACAAAATACCTCCCGGTGAGGGTGTAGGGTTCATGTTGCAAGAATAGTGCATATATATATATATATACATACATGCACACATACACACATACGTACATACATACATAGGTACATACGTACACATACCCACACAGATGCACAGGTGCCCTTGCAACTCATTCGTCATTCCCTTCCGTCAAAGTATCCCATGTCGGAATCAGGGGTTTCAACCTGCAGATCTGTTTTGCTAGATCAGGCTTCGCAACATTCGAGTCGAGAATCTGCGGTTGTTGAGGGCACAGCTGCTAAAAAGCCTAAACCCCAAAAAAAACCTGCAACCCTAATACCCCTACATAGAACCCCTCTCAACCCTTGTAGAACCCTTGAACCTGTAGAAATAAATACTATAGTAACAGGACCATTGAAGAACCGCGAAGAGCCCTTATAGAAAGCTTGATTGAACAGTACACACCACGAAGTGCGGCCAAGAGGCTGGGCGTAGGGGACGCCCTTGGGGCCGCGTGTGACGCGCTTCACCCGGCAGAGCTTGTACTGTGCCTCTTGCAGAGCGCTTTAAGGTTGACAGGGCTTTGTCGAGGGTCAATTCTTGAAGCGCTGAAGGGTTCAAGTCTTGAGATTCGGGCTTTATGGAGTTTCAGGGTTTTAGGTTATTATACATAGGTTTAACTGAAATCCGTTCCGAAGGCATTGCGGCATTTCAGGGTCTTGGGCTTTGGGGTCGAGGTCTGGGAACCAGGGTTTAGGGGCAACCAACCTGTCAAGCTGCAAAGCGTGCAGCACCAAAAATCCGCAACCAAAACTTCAGAACTCGTAAGCCCAAATCCCGGAATCCGCCAGGACTGAGCCTTGCCTGTTCTTCCAGCCGTAAGTTTCACATCCACGTATGAAGGCAACCGGTCAGATGTTCAATCAGTATAGGAGCTGGCGTCCTGTTTCTCTCCCCCGCGTAGCATGTATAACCGTCTAAGCTCGAACACACTAAGCCCCTAAACCAAGAACTTTAAACCCTAAAGCTTGTACACAAAAACCCCTAGATCCAACTTTCTGCACATCCATCAAGGCCTCTTCCTTGGCGACCTTGTGCAGGACGAACCTTCCACGGGATTCTGTTAATCTAGGGTGTGATACGGGGTCTATCGGGCCTTGACCCGGTTTGAAGACTGTTTTATGGGTGTCTTTTCACGATTCTAAGGACTTCAGGGATTTGGAAGCAGTTCGTCGGGATTCTATTGGTTTTGCTAGGGCTTGTTGTTTTGTAAAATGCGTGTTGACCAGAGTCTGCGACCTAGGTCTGCCTTTACGGGTACACGCAGGTGAGACCCATCGAACAGGTAGTTGTCATCTAGGGCTGTATAGGGAACTCCAGAAAGTTGGAATATGGTTTCAGGGTAGGATACCTTATAATTTACCATAAAGGGTTTAGGATAATCATATTCCAACTTTCTGGCTTTTACTGTAGGGGTTTAAGGTTGTTGTGTTCGGATGCAGAGTTGAAGGTTTAAGGGAGCCTCAAGAACAGTTACAGAGGCCCTGAACCCTACAAACCCCCTAAACTGTAAATGCAGCGAAAAATAATAGTTTTAGGAAACACATGAGAACAAGAATGTTAGTAGCGACACACGATGAACATAGGTGGGGGGGTCCTAAAGAACCAAAACCGTCGAATCAACGAGCCGAGTCCTACCAGGCCTTGAGCCTCAAGTCCCCAAACCAACCCTAACGCCCTGAAGCTGTGACCATAAGAAAAGATTTAGAGTTTAGTTCTGAGTTTAGGGTTTAGGGTTTAGGGGAAAAAGTGCGTGATCTGGTTTCGTCGCAAGATGTCCCTACTCTGTTGAAGCAGGCTTCACCAAGTAACAGAAATGAGAGCTCAGCTTTAAGATGGTAGGGCATACTTGAGGACCACAAAATCTACAAGCATGCTATTGGACAACTCAATGAACCACACAAACGAACCCACCAAGAAGCCGTACAAAGCCCTTTTGGAAGTCTTACACACTATCAGCCGCTTATCGAAGCCATCTAGGCATCTCCAGAAGCCTAGACGGCAATCCCCAGAGCTAAACCCATAAAACTATAAAAAGCTGCGGCGCCTTCCCTTGGTGTTGTACAGGAGGCGGAAGTTCTCCTTCGTCTTCTCGATCTGCACCTCCGGGTATTCAGGCTTCGGGTAGCGGGTTCAGGGTTCGCGTTCCTTTGAGGTGTCCCTTCGCGAAGATTTCATAGACGTCTACGACGAGGTCTGTAAGGTGCTGAGTCTATGGTACAAAAGCTACGAGTCGGGCGATAGGATTTACTTCAATGTGCTATGGGCTCTGACCTGCAATAGACACAAGTTCTCACGAAAGCGAGCCCCTGAAACAAAGAGAAAGACGAGGCGCCATGTCCATGAAGCCAGCAGGGTAGAACATGTCGGTGCGGACCTTGCCGTCGACCTGTCCACAGTATGGAGCGTCAGTGGATACTATAGTACAACTAGTACTACTCGTAGTGCTAGTAGTGGTAGTGGTAGTCGTAGTCGTAGTTGTAGTAGTAGTAGTAGCAGCAGCAGCAGCAGCGGCAGCAGCAGCAGCAGCAGCAGCAGTAGTGCAGTGGCAGTGGGACCGGTAATGGCAGCGGTACCACTACTAGCCCCCGAACTACCACGACTAACACAAACCCGGACGGGACCTTGATCAGGCGCTGCATGACAATCATCTTCACCTCACGGTAGGTCAGCGCGTACCTTGCAGTCCGGCTCGCAAGGATGAGAGCATACAGCAAGGTTTGGCGTTGAAAGTGTTTCCCTCTCTTAAAGGTTCATTATGAATTCAATACTTGCTCTTTTAAACGGCGGGACGTAGTAAGTAGGGTCGGCGGTAAGTAGGGCCAGTAAGGAAGGCAGCAGTACTTAGAAGTAGTTCGTATCCGATTCTATCGACTACGGGTAACCTGGCTTTCTAAGCCTCTTGGGGTTCTTTGAATATGCACCCTCTCCTTCTCAAAACTGCAAAGCCCTCGAACGAATCTCGGTCAGGACGGAAGTGCGGTTTCGCTAAACCCTACACCGTACCCAAAGAGCCAAATGCCCCTTGGTCGGGGGTGATACCTTGAACTCCATAGGGCACGCGATCATTCTTCCTCGGCAAATTACCATTGGGCTCCTACTTGGAGGGACAGGGGACTTAGTAAGTAGTAAGGTTATGAGTACCTTAATTGGGGTTGTAAGTATAGTTACCCTGATTATAGCCCTAGTTACGAACTCCCATGATCCTTTCAGTATTCAGCTCTCGAACTTTTGAAGCGCATCTCAGCAAAGCTGCTTCAGTCGCTGGCGCAGCATGACCTGGGGACTGGGAAGCTTCTCTAAATCAGGCAGGGTATGAGGATGATAATTACAGAGCTTTTGGGAAATCCTGCAGTGTCTGACGCTTTTACACGTGTAGTTTCCTGCTTTGAGCATCCTTTTGGCATCCTTGTTACAAGACAGACGTACATTGGAGAGCCCAAAATTGGGACTCTCATGTAGAGAACTACCTATCTAGCTGTAGGTAATCCTAACAAAAAACGTGGATACGACTGTATATAGATTGAGGGTCTATAGGGCTGCCAATTGTACTTATCGCGCGTGCAGGTGTTGTGTGGGACCTTCTGCATGAAAGTTGCCGCGGTGCGTGCGCGATCCAGATTCTGATTCCTACCGTAACTTGTCCCGAATTCTAAAGGACATTCAAAAAAGTTCCTTTGGAGTCTTCAGCAACAAGAAAATAAAGGGCAACTCCAGACGCTCTATAAACCCCCAATCTGACCTTCAATGCCTAGCCGCGATGAGAGGCATGCACTCGCGCAGCTTGTGCGGACCCGCCGAAGGCTTAGGAGCCCAGCGTCCCCTCGCAGCGTTTAGGGGATTCAGAAGCTGCAGGTATATGGGAGTTTCCGGAAATTCAATTAAGGGGTACCTGATTTTGGTGTCCTTATAATAAGGATCCTACTATTCAGGGCACTATGTTAGGGTCCCCTATTTTCGGAAACTCCCATGTAGGGGCTTGAAGAACTAGACAAAGGTTCTGGAGGGCTTTGTTCCATGATAAAGATACCTAATAAGGAACCCAAGCGTATAATGTTATGTATTCCATTGTGCAAGCCCCTGTAGAAAACATCATAACTGCCATACTTGGGCCGTCAGCAAACATTGCTACAGCGGGAGTTGCATACTTGGAATATCATCGTAGGGACCCTTACGGGGGTAGGGGGCCGCAATACATAAAATAAGGATTGAATAAGGCCGAAAAAGGGAAGTATAGTCCCCCACCCCGCTCCCCCCTACCCCCCTAAGGGTCCCTGTGAATGTCAACTTGGCGGCCGTTCAACTGAAGAAGGGCTTGGGGATGTTGAGGGCAAGAGAAGGTCGCATCAGGTCCTGCAGACAGCCCTCAGAATAAGCGAAAGCCCCTCTAGACACCTAAAGACAGACGGACCTCACCCCAACTAGGCCGAGAAATTGACGTTTCAGAAACTTTGAAGGCCTCAGCCCGAATCTCTACACTGACCGCGTAACCCTCACTCCTGCAAGCGAAAGTCCTGTAACCTCTGAACAAAGCGCCATGTCCTCCCTACAACCCAATACACACCTGTACAAACCCACATGCACCCCACAGAAACCGGTAAGGCTCGGCCTACTACGTCGCCGATCTTTCAGTCAGCTCGACCTTATAATAGATTAGAAAACCCATAAACCAAGTACATAACCCTTATATAATTAGCCCTTTAACGATTGCCCTTCTGCAAATTTGAATCACAGCTTCCTCGCCAGGCCTCAGCTTGTCGAGCATCCAGTGCTTAGGCGCATACATGCGCTTCAGGTGCTTGATGATTCCGCGGGCCATGATGGCGAAACCTCAGGGCCGCATACATGCGCATAAATATAAATAGGAATAAATAAATTAAAGAATCAATATAGATATAAATATACATATAAAGAAATGATAAATATAAGTATACATATAATATGTGTATATATATATATATGATGGCGAAACCTTCGGGCTGATGGACTGTAAAAACAACGACAATTGGGTTTCGGGTTTGGCATTGTAAGTTTCAGCGTGTAGTTAGGATGTAGGGATGAGGGCCTCTATAGTAGAAGCCAGAAAGTTGGAACATGAGACTCCTCATGCCCTTAAGGTAAAGTATAAGGGATCCTAGCACTAATCCTCCTAAAGCCATGTTCCAACTTTCTGGCTTCTACTGTATGTGGAGCCTGGAAGGATCAAGGGACTTCGCATGTAGAGTTGCAAGTGGAGGAAGAGGAGCTTTAATACATACGGTCTCATATGGCAAAATTGGTAAAAAAAGGACAGGTTAAACTATGCATAGGTTTAAGGACGATGTATCCTGATCCTTTTACCTATAACCCACCACGGTAAACCTATCATGTTCAACGACACATGCTCAAAGGCTGGCATTATAACAGACATAGCAGAACTCCCAAGCCCTCAACCCTTGTAACTATCCCCCTAAACCTCTACACCCTTGCCCTACACACCCTAAACCCATACCTCTACCCTAAACCCTAAACCCATACCGGTACCCTAAGCCCTAAGCCCATACCTGTACCCTAAGCCCTAAACCCATACCTGTACCCTAAACCCTAAACCCTAAACCCATACCTGTACCCTAAGCCATGGTTCCAAAGCAACACCCAGCTAAGTCCACTGTGCGTTCCTGGCGAAACCTTCGAGCAGGGCTTGGGGGGCTCTGCTATTTAGGATAAAGGGTTACTCTAATGGATACTATGAGGGTTCCTTTAAAGGGCTCTATAAGGGTTCCTTCAAAGGGCTCTATTAAGGGTTAAGAGTTTCCGACAATCAAGAGCACCTTATGTTGGGGTCCTTATAATAAGGACCCTACTCTTTAGGGCACTATATTAGGGCCCCCTGAAACTCCCATGTAGGTGCAGGGCTCTGAGGTTCAGTGGTGGCGAGTTTAGCCTATGGAGGGGATCAGTGTTTACGGTTTAGAGTTTAAAGGAGTTTAAGGTAAGGACTATGGCTTTGGAATTCAGGGCTTTGGGCTAGAAGTTGAAGGGAAGTACTACAATGCACATAGAGAAAGCGGAAGTCCTGGCAAATCCTAAGAGGAATCCTGTACGCCGTAGCAAAGGAGCCGATCCTCCAAGTACCATGACGGATCCAACAAAGTGACACGCGGCAGGATGAAAGCCGACCTCTAAAAAATCGCGGTCCGGAAAAGCTGAGTCCCTCACACGATAAACCCTGATGACTAAACCCAAAACGAAACCTGGGTGCCTGACTTGATCTCCAAAGACAGTCGGTGGAGGGTGGATTTCTAGCTCTTCCCTTCGAGCATCAGCGCAGCAGACGAGTCTGAAGGTTCAGGGTTCGGGGCTTGGGATCTATCGGGTTACGCAGGGTCACCTTTTACATATAGCCTTGGTTCTTATCTCACAGCCTGAAAAGACCCTGATGCTGAGGAATGGATTTTGGGGCATGGTTTAAAGCTTGAGGATGAAACAGTAAATACACTAGACCCTAAACCTTAAACTACCTTCCCACAAGGGCCCCTGAGGCTTTCTCGTAGTACGTGACAAACATGGAAAAAGACAGTTCCGAATGTATGGTGCCTTAATGTTTAAAGGTCTAGTAGCTTCATGGTTATGGTTTCTAGGATATACTACTACGGTGTACTTATATGTCAGGAAACCGGAGTAATAGTTCTACTAACTGTTCAGGCTCCTTGTGCACCCTATAATGTTGCTAGTCGTACAATGAACAAACGACTCTTAAGCATACCTACCATCAGAGCCACAGAAGTAATTACTGAAACCCTAAACCCTAAATCCCTATGGTTGTACACGTAGGGGTTGGGACTCCCAGGCCTATCACGCATTGCTCCTTTTCGAAACAGCGCCCCCCACACAGGCAGGCGAAAATCGGGTTGGCGGGGTTTGGCCCCCAGCCGCGTCTCTTGTGGACTGTTTCTTCGAGATGTTGAAATCGAGGATGGAGGGATGTGGGAAGTGTGTGCTTTAGGTTCGTGGGCGATGGCAAGGGGTCTTATGCGTATCTTGGCTGATTGGGCTTCTACGCAACGATGGCGCTAGCGACCATGCTGTGGCCGATTTCAAGCGGCAAGGCTCAAAATCCCCCGCGCAAGAAGCAGCCGGTGGCCAATGGGCTCCACTCCGAGGGCCTTGGACTCTTGGGGGCGGCGGGGGGTGAAGATTCATGGTTTGTTGGAAGCCTTCAGCGGGGTTTAAGATTGTTAACGAAACCTTTTGGCTTCCAATGCATGGCTTTTTGGGGTTCATGGCTTCAGGAATACCGTGAGCGTAATTACTCAGAAGGCTTCTTCGGGTCTCCATGAAGGTGTTCATGTATGTGTGTGTACATGCACACAACTATTGGGGCGCGGCATATGAGCTTGAATTCCCCATCTGTGTATGGTCTCTAGGGCCCAGGCTGATCGGTCTTGTGTACCCACAGTTTACATGGGAGTTTCCGAAAATAGGGGTACCTTAGTTGGGGGTCCATATAATAAGGATCCTACTATTTAGGGTACTATATTAGGGTCCCCTATTTTCGGAAACTCCCACATAAAACTTGAGGGATACAGCACCGGACCGGCTACACCAGCAGCAGCACCACCACTACTTTTTCTTCGAGTCCTGCCTCGAAATCTACTACTTCCGCTACTTCCAGTGCTACTACTACTACTACTACTACTACTACTACTACTACTACTGCTACTACTACTACTACTGCCACTACCACCACTGCTCCTGCTGCTACTACTACTGTTACGACGACTACTTCGACTACGACGACGCCTACAACTTCGACTACTCCTCCTGCTGCTACTGTTTTTGTTTTCCGCCATTGCTCCTATGCTGCTACGTCGTGTGCTTTGGTTGCTAGCGGTGCTCCGGCTGTTGTCGTCAACATGGTGGCTACGACTATCGAAACAGGACATGTCGACCTTGTGAGAATGACTACTGTATGTCTATTATCAAGATTATCTTTCTTGTGCGTTTTCCTTCTTCGACTGAGAATTGTGTCCGCGCAAAACGGATCGCGCATGCCCCGTGAGCATACGGTCATGGTTTAGGGCTGAATTTGGGGACTTCGACTTCGGGTGCAGGACAGCAGGAGTTGAACTTAAGTCCTGCGGGCTGGCGCCATAGCCATGCTCTTGAAAGAAAGCCAAAGTACCCATGGCCCTAAACCCCGGACTCGAAAACCGTGGACCTTCAAATGACGAAACCCACAACCCCTAGACTAGACCCCATGCACCCATAACCTCGTAAGCCCCAAGCACCATGCCCTAATAACACTGCTTGCTGTGTCCCCTCATCCTTTAAGTAAGCCCTACAAACTCGTTGTAACCTTGTTGCATCCGGCCCGACAACGTTAAACATCCCTGAACCCTAAAGTCCGAAACCCTGCTAAACCTTAACACCATAAGCCCCAAAACCCTGAAGCCCTATCCCCAAAACCCGAAATCCCTGAAGCCCACAGAAACCCCTTAGAGAACCCGTAAGAGCAACCTTCAAGGATCTCTTAACCCCTTATAGAACCCTGAAGGGCAACCTTCCAGGATCTCTTATCTCCTGTAGAACCCTTCAAAGCAAACTTCTAGGATCCCTTTAGAATCCCATAGATCCCTTATAGAACCTTTTAAGGAGCCCTTAAAGGAACCCTTTTAAACAGGACTCGGATCCCTTTAAAAGGAGGAGGCCCTTCGACCCAAAGGGGCCGAGGGCCGAGCATCGAAAATCGAAGGTTCGATCTGCCCCAGGATGCCCTCAGCGACGGGGTCATCCAGCCTGGTTTAGGGCGTTATGGTCCGGGTTTTAGGGTCTAGGGCGTAGGGCTGAGGGTTTAAGGTTCTATGGTTTGAGGGGGTTAGGGAGTTGGGGCTTACGGTTCAGGGGTTTAGGGGTTATCCAGCCTGTTTTTTTTTTTTTGAACTCCTTTTTACATCTGCGGGGATTAGGGGTTATACTTGGCTTCTTGAGGTTTAGGCGGCTTGGGGCTCCGGCGACATAAGGGGTTTAGGGCATCATGGTTGGATTGAAGGTTTAAGGTTGTATACTTTGACAGGTTTAAGGATTCGGGGCTTGCGAATTAGGTTTAGGATGTTAAACTGTTAAATGATTCCTTACGGGGTTCCTGTAAGTGCTGTGAGGGATCTATACAAGTTTCTGGATTAAAGGTGCAGGATTGGAAAATAAACGGCTTTAGAGTTTTAGGCTTTTGGGGTTTAAGGGCTTGGTTTTGGTTTTCAGGGCTGTAGGGTGTCGGAGGTTAAGGGTTTTGTGGTCGTTAGGCGGGCGGCATAGTGGTTTAACGTATTGGCGGTGTTCGGGCATGTTTTGCTGGTTTTTGGGCTTGGGATTCAGCGAGTTCGTCGGTTCAGCTCCTTAAAAGGAGGTGTGTGTGTGTGTGTGTGCTTGGGTATGTAACTATGTGTATATATATACATAAACATATCTATCTATCTATCTATCTATCTTTATATATATATATGTCTAGATGCACGTGTACACAGAGTACGCATATACATATGTAGGTGTATACTGTATACATACGCGCATACAAGCATTCAATTTCATACATACATACATACATACATACATACGTGCATACGTACATAAATATGTGTCTCTATATATATATATATATATATATATATATATATATATATATTTATAGCTATACAAGCAGACGTCATAATTATAATTATAACTAAAAAATATATACATGCATATATATACACATACATATGTATATAGTTTATACGTCTGTACATATAACTACATATCATGTTGCAGGCTTGCTTTAGGCATGCGAAGCGGAACATGACTGCTCATCACACCAGTCCCCCGCTCGTTCACATCCCCCACGAATCTTGGATCACGCCAACCAGCTCAAAAAACGAAAGCCAGTCCTGGCGGCGGCCAGTTGCGAGAAGTCGCAATCAAACTCGTCCCTGCGTCACGAATTGACAAAGACATGTAAATTCGACATTGCAGACTTTACAGGGTGTTTGGGGAGAGTTGAGGGTTTCAGCATTCGTGGCTTCGGCTTTAGTCGTTGCTTCGGATCTGCTGTCTCTCTGCGCGGGTGGAGAGTCGCTAGATACTGCACTTGCACATATTTTACAATACGAAATTCTGTATTCTTGCGATTTCGAGCGCGAGTCACTTGGTTTCACTCAGCCATGCGGCTTCAGCTAACCCGGCAACCGGAGCTCCAAGGGCAACGCATGATACACCAATGTACGACGGCAGAAGTGCTGATGATGATGATGACGATGATGATGATGATGAAGATGACGGTGTTGATGGTGACGATGGTAAGGCGGCTGCATATTGTTGACGATGGCGGCAATGCCATTGACGACCTGTGTAATGACGAAGACGATGACGAAAACGATGACGATGTTCAGGATAGTGATGACAATGATGATATGATGGTGATGGTGCCGACGATGATAAGGCGGCTGAATGTTGTTGATGTGGCGGTGCAACAACTGATCACAGTGTTGATGACACAGCGGATGTTGTGCGGATATCGAATATCGGTATCCTGATTGACAGAACAAGTTCAACACTCAACACATGCCTGCAACCTGGCTGGAGTGAACGCCCCAAAGGCTGAAGCGAAAGGCTTTTGCGGCTCAAACGCGGCATCGTCTCAGGCGGAAGCTGTTCAGAACTCACCCAGCCGAGACTGCAACTTAGGAGGCCGCGGTGTCATTCACTCGTGCCTGTCCCCGTCGTGCACTTTGTGATTTGCCCCTTTCTACGAAAAGGCAACGTCCATCCGTCCTGTCAACCAGACGACTATCCATGTACCTACCCACCTTTCCATCGATCTATCTGCCAACCAAACTACTATCTTTTATGAGTCTACCTATCCATTTAGCACATATATGTACGTGTGTATACAAGCATGCAGACACATATATATATATATATATATATGTATGCCCATATACGTATATGTCATGTAAGTCGAACTCAACTATGTTGATCGTACTTCGTATCTGTATGTCCGTGCGCGATGTCTCCGGGCCCAAAATAGGCCCATCCTTAAAAGCGGGAGAGACCGAAACTGAGATAAGGATAACAGATTGAGCTGAGGGGCTGAGTGTCACAAAGGTCTACGGTCGGGTTTAAGGGCTTAGGGTTTAGAGAATTTTGGTGAGCTTGATGTACTCTAAAGGGTTTAAAGATGTCAGGCGTGACCTACCCAGCCCCTAAGTTTGAGGCAGAAGCAAAAGGGCAGTTCCCACTGGGGCAGCCGCCTTCTTTAGTGCTTGCCTCACAGCACTTCCCTTCAGTGACACTTCAACATGCGCAGCCTGTACTATAGGGGCCTTAATAATTACCTATACTATTTTGGGGGGTTTCCTATTACAATTATAGTATAATGGGCCCCAAAGCCCTGTTCTAATTATTAAGGCCCCTATATTATACTCCAGCAGCCCGAAAATCGAGAACTTGAGAGGTTTCGAGTGCTAGAACCACTCCCTCAAGCACAGACACAAATGCTGGCTCTGTGGGTGGTATATACCCCTAAGGTTCCATGTACCCTTATAGTATATACTTAGGCCTTAAAGTACCTATATAGGAACCCCTTTGAGGATTATGTATCTACTGTAAAGGTACATGGAGCCTTAGGGTACTGGGGGACCGAGTCTACTAGCCTCTCATGCCATCAGCCGCAGCTTGACCGCGCGCAGCAAGTGGTCCGATGGGTAGGAGGCATTCCTGGGTTCGTGAAAAACCGTAGAGAAAGCCCCTACAAACTCCCGCGAACCCGTACAACAGCAAATCAAAACAAGTTACTTCAACACGCTTAAACCAAACCTGCAAAACCCTTGCACCCCTAAACCCTAAACCCCTAAACCCTAAACCCCTAAACCCCAAAACCCTAAACCACACCCTTATGAGGCCCTTCAGTTCTGACGAACTCAACAAGGACCCCAGATTCGGCAACCTTTGGGTGTGGTCGATGTCTGGTAGCTCGAGTGCTTCCTCCAGCAAAGGCACACGGGGGAAACCAGATGAAGCCGACCAGGGGGGTCTTGGGCTTCATTAGGGTATCAAGTGATGTTTTTATTCAGTTTAGGGTCTACATACCCTTGGGTTAAGGATACAAGGATCATCAGGTTTGGGGTCGGGAGATCAGAGGCTCAATGCCATGAACACTGACCGAGCTGGCCAACCGAGTAACTGACTTGCAGAAAACACCTCTTCGGTGGGCTTTGATGATCGGCAACCCCAAGCACTTCGGAAAGCAAAGGCCTAAGGTTTCAAACTTGAACTTGATACTCTCAGTCGCTACTTCGGGTTGGGCTGGAGGCCGTTTAGGGTCTGGGAGGAGGGGGGGGGGGTGCAACCCTGGCTCTCAGGCTCTCCAGATCAGAATCAAAAGCCGAACATACACCGAAAACAGGAACCCAAAGTCTCATATTGCAAAACTATACTGTTTCAAACCGTCCGAGATATTTCAGCTCACTGGTGCTTCAGATCCAAAGACCAGGAATTAACAAACTGAGGATATTCGCACACCAGCGTGGTGATTGGAGAAAGCAGCTCATGTAACCAAAGGGTCAATGCATGCCGCACGTTGCAAAACCCAGCTAGCTATATACGCAAATACAGGGGCCTTAACAATTAGAATAGGCTTTGGGGCCCATTCTAGCCATTCTAGTTTAGCAAGTCTGATGGACCTCTGTACTGCCATCTGCCCGTCAAAAGAATCGCAAACCCCGGACTCTGCACCCCAAGCAGGAACCCCACAAGCCTATGAACAACATCTGTAAAGAAAGCCCCATAGAACCGTATATAGCGCCCTTCGCACCCCTGAAGCCCTCAACTCAGCTGGCTTTTCTCTGTGCCTGGGGCACGATCCTCCCTGGATGCGATCGGACGAAAATAAAGTCAACCGGATCCATTGCCGCGCCTGTGGTGCTTATAGGAAGCTACCTAGAGTCTCCGTTGTAGTTCCGCTTTTGGTAAACCAATCTTATTATGGCTAGGGCTTGCTTGAACCAAAACAGGAACTACTTGGAGGATCATGGGACTTAGTAAGTAAGGTTACAAGTACCCTAATTGGGGTTATACGTATAGTTACCCTAATTATAACCCTCGTTACTATAAGTCCCATGATCCTTTAAGTACAATGGAGACTGCAGAGGTTATTGCTTTTGTTTGTTGGGTGGTGCCTATAGTTCGGGTTTGGGGGTTCTGAGGGGTTGCAGGTGGCTTAAAACCCAAGCCTAAGCACTGCAAGCCCCCAAACCCTAGACCAACAAAGACCAACACCAGGTGCCCTTCAACCTACAATCCCTACGAAAGGCTCTAGGACCCAATACTCAAAACCGCAGAACCCCACCAGAGGCTATGCTAACACAAATAGGCATCATCTAAAGCCGTGTAACACTCTTTTACCCGCCCCAACCCCTCTCACAGACCCAACGAACAGCTCACGAAGCTAACGCAAACTGAATCCCAGACCTTATGCAACCCTCCCCTTCTTCAGAAAAGAAGCGAGCACACCTATTAGTAATACTGCATTAGTAAAGACAATAAGTGCGCCTTCCAAGGTCGCTCCGGTGTCCTGGAAGCCCAGCCCTGCGACCACACCTGCAGCTCCTTGATCTCCTCGTGGTCCTCGCAAACTTCCGTTTAGGGTTCCTGTAAAGGTCTCTTTGCGGGCTTCTGGTGTCTTTAGGTTTAGGGTTTTGCTAGGGCTTTGTTTTAGGGCTTCATGTCTCATTGGGGCTCTGCAAGGGGCCTATACGGCTCATACAATTCATACGGGCCCTGTGCAGGTTTAGTAAATGATATGGCGACTCGGGGAGTAGGGCTACCGGTACCTTGATTGGGCTGGAAGTAGCTATAACTGTAACTGCCTGCATCGCCCTATACTTGGAGCATCATGGGACGTAGTAAGTAAGGTTATAAGTACCCGAAGTTACACTAATCATAACCCTAATTACTAAGTCCCATGATCCCGTAAGTACTCACCGAGTCCACCAGTCCTCCCATGTATTGAAGGGCTAGTTTGGGTGGCTCGTGAGGTTGGCTTATCGGGCTCTGTACAGTAAACCCCATAAAGTTGGAAACCGGATTAAGGCCAAATAGTGCTGGGATTCCCTTTACATTACTCTTAGGGATGTAGGCTATTGGGTTTCCAACTTTATGGGGTTTACTGTAAAGGTTCCATGGGGCTTGTGTTGAAACTTTGCAGTTTGGTTTGCGGCTTGAGCGGTTTACGAGTTTAGAGGCTTTGTTTGAGAGAAGATCTTGGTTGAAGATCTAAACTACGGTTGATATGGTCTGAGGTGTGGAGATACGTTTTTGCTTCTGTTTTTTTTTCATTGGTTGGTTGCACGCTTCTGGTTGGCTCGAACTGGTTTGGGCTTCAGGGTTTAAGGTTTAGGTTTGCAGGGCTTGATGAGTTTGTGTATAGGGTCATCTAGACATGATTTCGAAACTAAAGGCATTGAGCACGGCCTTCCCACAGAGTTCGTAGCGACTTCTTGTGGTGTTGCAGCTGGGGTTTGTAAGACCGTTCTTGATGGTTACACTTGGAGGATCATGGGACTTTGTAAGTCAGGTTATAAGTACCTTAATCGTGGTCAAGTATAGTTACCCTAATTATAACCCTAGTTACTAAGTCCCATGATCCTTTAAGTAGACCCTAACAACCCCTCTGATAATAGGAACCCCCTATAGATCCCTTTAAAGGAGCCCTTTAAGGAACCCGAGTTACTAAGTCCCATGATCCTTTAAGTAGACCCTAACAACCCCTCTGATAATAGGAACCCCCTATAGATCCCTTTAAAGGAGCCCTTTAAGGAACCCGAGTTACTAAGTCCCATGATCCTTTAAGTAGGGCTCAAGGCTTCGTTTCTTGAAAAGCCTCAGGGGGCTGAGAGCTGTGCAGGGCTGGACGAGGATCTGTCCGGGCAAG